GCCTCGACTTCCAAAATACCCAGATCTTACCCTACTCTTGCCACAGCACCCAACCTGGTAGCTGCCAACATTAGACAGTCCCTCACAACTGGGTTTTGGGAGTGGTAAAACCTTACTTTCATACCTGAATGCTGTGGGATTTTCACAGAGTAACTGCAACCTCCAGTGGTAGAAATCACAATAACTCTACCCTCAGCAGATCATGGGTTCTTAATCCATGGTCTGATGAACTTGTTTGTTTGTTTTTGTTTTTAAATATTTTGATAGCTATCTTTCAATATAATTGATTTCTTTTGTAATCCTATATATTTTATTTTATCTATTTAAAAACATTATTTGGAGAGTAGGTCTATAGGCTTTCCCAGGTTGCCAAAGTAGCCTGTGACATAAAAAATGGCTAAGAACTACTTCAGTAGATGGTTTTTGAGAACATCTACAGGGAAGAATTTATCCTCCCATGTTGAGCCTCTCTGATACCTAGCTAGGTTAGTCCTAAAATAACTGATGTCGTAGGGCCAGGTCTCAAAGCCTATCTGCTTTCATAGGATGGGACAGTTTGCATTCTGTTAGTATAACCTTCAACAACCCAGAATCAACTCTGTGCCTTGATGAGATATTAGCTTAGGACTTTAGTAGAGGAATCTAAAACCTATGAAATGCTGATGCTCACCCATATATCATCATAGTGCCAGGCCCCATCCCCTCAGGTGTCCCACCTACATAGCCTAAGGTAATGGTTTCCAATGTTATTTGTTCCTTGAACTCTTTTCAAGAACAATAACAAAATGTACCGTGAACCCCCAGGGTAATTTAATGTCGTATTCATAATACTCTTTTAGCTTAATTTATTAAGTGCTTACAATAACTTTCCCCCTCAAAGATCCAAATTAAAATTTGTATTATGTAATTCATTATAAGTAATAAAATGTTATTCTATCCGTAATTTTAAAGCTTTAAGCATAAGATTATAAAAACTCTATAAAATCATTACAATTTTTTTTGGTGGGATATTCTATAAGAATTAAAAGAAGCAATCCAGGAAGACTACATATGCTTATCATTATCTATAAAGCATCATATTACATATCTTTATTTTCTAAAATTTGTTGAATATAATATTTTAGTGAAATAAGTTACAGCCCAAAAGATGTTTAACAAAACATAATCACATATAAATTTAGTTTTACTCTGAACAAAGGTTTGTAATATTTGACTCAACACCAGACAAACAGTCTTAAATCTGGTCCCCGCATTATGTTTATTTTTGTATTGAATTTAAGACAGGAATAAAGTGAAAATACTCATGTGGTGAACAATGATGGGAAAATTTTGCAAACTCTTTTCTGCAAGATGGAAATTCCATTTTTATTTTTAGCCAAAAATTTATGACTGTCATTTTTGAATGATACTTGCAGTCCAAAATCCATTTACATGTCCATTGATTTTTCTTTTTCAATAAATATCAATTCATCAGACAAGAGAAGTAAAGTATCTATCAAATGGATTGCAAATCCAATTTAATTTTTTGGAAATTTCAGAGAAATATTCTTTGAAAGTTACTTCTAAACATTTTAGATGATCATTGGTGTCTTTCTTGATAGCCTGATCAAAAGACAGTTTATTTTCTAAGAATTATGTAATATCACAGTGCATGCGATACTGTTCTCAATTGTGTGGTTCTAAATTGTTAGTTTCTGATTTTCTGATTTGTCCTAAGCACTGAATGTGTCTGTACTTGTACCCTATAATGATATGTTGGGTTCATTAATTTTTTAAAAGATATCTGCTAAATATGCTAATATTTGTAGCCACGTCATATCACTTTTATACTCAGGTAAAAAAGGATGGTCAGTTGAGAAGACGATTGATTCTACTTTCAGCTCTAATAGATGAGTAATTGCTCTGTTATTGGAAAGGCATCCAACATCTCTATGTTAGAAGTGGAACATGCTACCTGCCATCTCTCTATAGGAAACAGTAAACAATTGAGAGTTAATGCATCTTGATTTTATAAACTTTACTATTTTGATAGCACCACCTAGCACACTTGAAAGTTATTGTGGCATTCTTTGGATGCTCAAACTCGTTTGTGTGTGTGGCAGTGTTACCATACTATATTTGTGTTCAGTTTTTAAATATGTAAAACAATACTTCCAAATTTCCCAGTCACTGATTTTGCTCCATCTGTGCATGTTCTATAACAGGAGAACCAATTGATCTGTT